CAATTTCAATTTAAACTTCATGCATTTCTTTAAGTAATTGCCTCAATTTTACACGGAATATCTGCTGATTTGTGAGTGAAGACAATTTATATTTTTTTATCAAAACCAAGCTGGTTGATGTTGTATTAAATGCACACCTTTCTGTACCTAACTCTGCCGTTATCTGTTTCGCCAACTTTCTATTGTGCGCCAATTTAATTTGTTCCCCTTTTTGAATGGCTCCAAACTATTTTTTTATGAAACCAATAGCTTTCTTCGGTTTCAACAAATTCAGTCCTCATAGTTCTATAGCCCACCCACGTTTTTAATCTTATAAACTGTAACATCCTGGTTGATATTCTTTGTCGAAACATGACATTTCAGTGTTGTTCAATGATTTCTCACCTTTTTGCAGTGTTCTCTTCCAATGTTTTGTTTTGAATAAAAACCTGATATCCTAGAACTTTAATACGGTTCCTTTCTTCAGGATTCAGACTTGACAGTTTCTCGTATTCAGATTTTTACTAATTTAAGGTTTGCATTTTGCATTATTGCTTTCAATCTTCACCATTGTTAGAACAAATAACTCATGCTCCTTATTGAATTGGACACATTTGTTTAAACTATTGTAAAAGGGATAGATCAAACCATAGTTTGCTTTGTCATCTACAGCTGTGTATTTTGTTCTTCATTATTAATCGTCATTTTCTTCAGTATAACTTCATTACACACTTGAATTTTTAGCGGAAAATAACTTTCTCTTAACTCGATATTGGCTGTTTATTCGGTATATTTTGTGAGAAGTGTATGTATATAGGAATACTGAGACACCACGTGGTTCTGTGCAGTGCACAACGGTTGAAATACTCTCCAGGGATAGTTGAGAGAAACTTAAACAAAAACCATTGTTATTCTATCGCCTTCTGTTCGCTCTGATAGTATTTATTTACGAAACTCTATGTGCCTTCATCAATTATAGTTTACAAACAACTAATTATCCCGGCCAGCACAACCGGGATGAGAACAATAAGATGCTGTGGAGGACAAGGTCACCATGACCTAATTCTTATCAGTGCCCTCTGGATTATGGATGTTGATTGGACTGCTGGGAGTACTTTTGTGTCTCTGTGGCGTGTATCTTTAAAAGTTCTATGCTACTCGATAAATAGGTATCATACTGTACCCTTGTTTGGACAAGTATATCAATTTATTCCGTTTTTATCACTTGGATCGATTTCCGTGTACGGTGAACAGAGGAGTAGACTGAGTTTATGATAATCCAATTTTGTGCATCCTCTTGGATTATTACTATTCATTCGCACACAGTCAAAAACGTGGCAGCCAGTAGTTGAGTGAAAACAGATAGCTTACTCGTACACGAAAAGATTGTAGAAGCATTGTAGAAGCACAGTTGTATCCCAATCTCTTCCAGAAAGAGAAAGCTGCTGTGTTTGTGTGCAACGCAGATAAAAAAAATGTCATTATAATTTTGTTAAGTTGAGATCTTCGATTTATCTACTTTTAACGCTGGTCGGAACACTACCACTAGGAATGCTTACAGCGTGCTGGCCGGGCGAGTCAGAGCAAAACATCCTTGCTGAATGATAAACTGAAGAGAACCGCAATCTGAATCAAATAAGGCTTTGGGGATATTTTCCCATCTGTAGGAATGGAAAATTTGATTAACAGTTTGTTGTTTATATCATTTGGTCACGAGAGACGCTAATGGCATCTCTGGCACACAATTCAGGCAAATGAATCCGAAGCAGACTGGTTGAAATCCCAGTCCGCTTATAAGTGAGTTCCACTTAGTTAGTTGCTAGCCAAAATAAATCGAACAGATCAAATATCACATCCCCTGCAGGGGATGAGCATTCTGAGGAGATGGGTAAAAATGGAGCTCGCTAGAAAGGATTTTGTGCAATGCAGTTGCGGTCGTTTATCTCTGCATCTTTTATCTCCACCTCACCGTTACTCCATTGAGTGGTTCGATTGATATGTCAGTGGATGGAATACTGAAGTAAATGAAAGAGGTTCCGGCTTTCAAGTTTTGGAGGACCCGAATTGGCTAATATATATATAAACCACAGCTGATGCCAGACTGTGTACCAAACAAATCATGGCGCAATATTATATTTAAAAGGGAAAAACGTTCCATGATTTGCGTGTGGGCTGAATACTGTCAGGTTGCCCAAGCAGGTGCATTTTCGTGAGGAATTCACAACCGGATCCTTCGGCTAGTCGAAGCCTGACCCGCAAGGCAAGGGGACTGTTTGAAAATTGCAGTCCGTTTGGGTCCAGTGTCCAATTCATCGGATCATACACACTTTCGACGGATTCAAATATCTTAGGCGCCCAATACACTTCGATGCCTAGTCGAGCCGGTCACCAGTGCCTCAATCTGGAAGTTGTGTGTGGTTCGTACGCCTCTTCTTGGTTGCTTTGGAATCAAGGTTTTTGGGATAACTCTCCTAAGTGAACTAACTACCAGTGGTTCGGCTTTTCGTCCTCTCACCTTGATGAGAACCACCTGCACCACGATAAGGTAGTGAGTAGGGCTTCCTCAGCGCAGGCTATTTGAGATGCTTGGTCGTATGAGCGCATTTCGCGATGTGCAAGGGAAGGGTAACCAGCCACAACCCTAGATACCCACCCCGATTATACTGAGGCTTTCGGAGATGAACTGGATAGTTCCTACTGTTCTTTCATCATATTATTTATCCTGCTTGCTAATAGGGTTCTTCGTTGAGCCTAAGAATAATGATGAATACCCGTCGGTGAATTGCGAATATCATCCGCCGTAAACATTTTCTTCTGTGTCCTTAAAGTACCTTTCACACACACAATTATCACTGCACCTATCTGGTTTCTGTAATCTCCTGTTAAAAAGTGTTAAAAATTCTGTTTCCTCATCTTCTCGAATGAACATAATGAGATTCCATGACCACCTAATCATAAGTTCACAATAATTTTGTAGTTTGGTGTTGTAATAACTGCTTGATTGTGTGTTGCATGTTATCACGTTGCTGTGACCTGTAACTAATGGCTACGCTTATGTCCTTTTCTTACACAGTGATCACTGCGATATCCGCTCCAAAGTTTTCCACTCTAGAATTAAGCCCCTCAGCGAATGATTTAATCGATCAAGGGTAGTTTTTTCAGACTAAGTTGGAGAACAAACTGTTTACATTGTATACAGATGAGCGTCAATCTTTGAGGGGTCATTTTCTATCCCGGGTATCGTTTTCAGAGAATCACATAGCATGTTGCTCAGATCCCCCTAATGTTTATGGCCGTTCCTACTAGCCTCCAGAGTTTTACAGAGCCTCTTGATTTGTGTTGAGGAATCACATGAATCACAAAGAGGTATCCCTTAGAAATTATCCAGCCTGACACCATTTGTAAAGGTTCCAGAGGGATTATTCCATTCAACGATTAATCACAATCGTTTATAGTTCGCACATAGAGGCGCGTAAGTAAAACATATGTATAAATCTGTCCTGCTTTAAGATTTGACCAAAACCTCAAAATGTGTCCCTTGTCCAATTCTTCTATGAATGACTCTTCTCCCTCGGATTGTCAGTCTTTCTTGTTCTTGTTGTGGACTAAATTTTCATCTATATGCCACCAGAAACTTAAACCCTGATCAAATTGACCAGTTAGGTATCCTCATGCGAGGATTTAAAGTTTCATTCTGGTGCTACCTAATATTGTTATTTATTGTCCTACGTATAACTGGTTCACAATCTAACCTTGAAAATGAGAGGTTATAATGATTAAGACAAAATAAGCCGAGATAACAAAGAAGCCAACCTGATCCGCTATATTTCAAATCCGCACAAGTCATCCATTCTATACAGACGTTTCTTTTCGACTGTTTAACAGACAGAGTGATTATTCAAACTTCATAGATCTGTGGTCAAGATTATCCCGTCCGATTTAAATTTTTTAGGGTGACTCTCGAATTGGTTGGATCGGGTTCACAATGGTGATTTCCGGCATAGCGGGTTCGATTATTGCCGGAATCGCGTTGGATCGGAGCAAGAAATACAAGTGAGTTGGTCGTTTTGTTTCCCGCACTAATCCTACGTTCATGCTGAGGATACGTTTTCTTGGAGCTAGAGAGAGAGAGAGAACTGTTTAGTACGATATCGAAATGACTGATGGCTCGCCAAGATAGCTTTCATCGATCAGATCAACGTATATTGGGAACAAAATCGGGCAAGATGGCCTTACTGAGGTCTGCCTTAGTGCGCATGCAAACCGACGGCAACATTTCGTTCGGTTTGCCAACCAATAAGTAGATTGCTAGTTGAAAATATTTTGCGTTTGTCATTGCAACTCTGACGAACCATGGCTCAAAGAGTTGTCCCATTATGTTTTTTGTTGCTAGGTTTGTGTCTGTGTTCAGCCTGCGCCATTCTTTACCATTTCTAGTGTAATGTGACACGTCTGCCCACTATCCCCATTCCATTCCAATTTCTGCAAAGAAGATATTCTAAAAAAAATGTAATTTTCCGATCTACAAAAAATCAGTATAAATTGATTCGTTCCGCGCGGGAAGCCCTAGTCCCGGAATATTACAATCGCATTGCTTGTCCGGATTCCAATACACAAGCAATCAGAATGATTTTCAATCGCTTGGCAATCCAGATATCCGCGTATTTTACATGCTTTGCACTATTTGAAAGCACAATTGCTTATAAAGGCTGACAGAAGTCTGTGTGCTTGCATTTATGATAGTGATAGTGGTGTTCGTTGAATGCTGATGGCGTTGATTCAAAATGCGGATTTAACAAACTAAACCATTCCATTATGTTTGGTCGTGATTAAACCGGTCTTGACAAAGTGATAAATTGGTCTAGTAAACGTCATAACAGACGATTATTATTGAATAAGATAATTGTTCTGTATCAATATCACTACAGCAATGTAACTTAAAATTGAAGGATGGGGAGTAAGTATTCGTACAAATTCAACCTAATTGTCAAGGTGAACCTGGGTCACACAACCAACGTGACATAACTGACAACCCTGGAAGCACAGATCTGAGAATGCGGTTTGCAAAATGCACACAGGAAGTAAACGATTCCTCAGATTGAATTGTTCTCCTTGAAACCCGTAAGTTTTTCTCCTTCATAAAAATATAACGGCATGAATATGAGTTTTTGAAAACAATTGTTTGCCTGAAAATCGGTTCTGAATGCGAGTATGGGTGTATTTCGAAATTTGATTTATGTTTTGTAAATTAAGTTTTAATACCCTAGTGGATTTGCTATCTTGAATAAAGGGAAAATAATCTTTCCCCATAGCTTCTTCATGGAATGCCAGAATGATTGCTCCTAACCATGAGCATTCGTGTTGACTTTAGAAAAATCACTAAATCGTGATGCTTTTTTGTGCACCGAATCTTGGCCGATCCTGACGGAGTGCATGACGTTTGTTTACTGATCCCTAAGTGCTTTCAATTAGCCGTGGATGAATTCAACGCTCCACAAAAGTGACGGATTGCTTTTCATCATCATTTCCTACAAGCAGAATAGCATACACAAAGTGTCTCTTGGCAACTAGTCGAATTACTCCGTCTAGGGCATTGCAAAATGCTTTTTTTTGTCACAAGCGTTTCTTCAATTTCTTCCCAGATTACATAGTTCGCAGCCACAATAACATCATATTGCGTATCATCCATGAAGAGCGTGCATCATCTTACAACGTTCCTTTTTGTATCCTACTCGGTGTTAGCGCGTACAGTTTTTCTCACTCTTTTTGTTTCACACCTTCCCCCCCCCCC